GTTCCCCTGTCGGCGGGGGGGGGTGGCGTTTAACTGTTTTTTTTTTTTTTTTTTTTTTTTCATTAATAATGAAAAATAGTTATTGAGATCTAGGGCAGCCTAGCCTATCTCTCCCGTTCAAATCCTGGGGAGAAGAGGTCCTAGCAAGGCTTGTTATCGCACTTTTGGGAGTCTGGGCTGTGGGATTTATGACCTGTGGGTGTAGAATATTAAAACAAACCCCACAACCCAAAAACATCCTTAATGAGAAAAAAAAGTCATGCACTCGAACCGTTTCTCAAGCTTTATTTGTAAGAGAGGGGAGCGCCTGGCCCCCGTGACGGACAACACCGGCCCTCGATGCCGAGTGCCCTTGGCAGATGCCGATAAAGCCTGTTCTAGCGCTGCTCCCACGTACTTTTGTCCTTACGGAATGCCGGGAGGATCCCAACGACCCCTGGAAATGCCTCGGGAGAGCTTGACGTGCGGCCAAGAGGCCGGCCCGGCCCTTAATCCCGTTAAGAACATCCCTCTCCCGGTGCGTGGGAGCCGAGGCACCACCCTCCCTTGCTGCTCTACTGAGTATTTAAAAAATGCCTGGGTTTTGTCATCATAATGAAATGCCGTTTGTTTGCCTTTTTTTTTTTTTTTTTTTTTTTAACTTCAGCACTGTATCAGTCACCGGGGTCCACCCGGTATTGTAATAAAGCGGCTTGGTTTATTACACACCGAAGGCTGGTGCGTGGGAGCCGAGGCACCACCCTCCCTTGCTGCTCTACTGAGTATTTAAAAAATGCCTGGGTTTTGTCATCATAATGAAATGCCGTTTGTTTGCCTTTTTTTTTTTTTTTTTTTTTTTAACTTCAGCACTGTATCAGTCACCGGGGTCCACCCGGTATTGTAATAAAGCGGCTTGGTTTATTACACACCGAAGGCTGTTTCTGCAGATCGAAATCCTGCTTTCCGCAGGGAAAGCAAGAATATGAAGCGATAAATATCCAAGAGCTTCAGCTTAAAGTAAAGCTCCCCTTAAAACCTCCTTCAAAATAAGAAAATAATAATAACGTGTATTTTTTTGTGTTCTTCAGTCCCATCAGCCTTGCTTATCACCACGCGAAACCCAAAACGCTCGTGTTTCTCCCGGTTAAAACGTTGAGCTTGTGGCTTTGCTGCCCGCAGCTCCTGAGCGATTCCCAGCTCTCGCCCCTCGATCCGCCCTCTCAACCATTTCTCTTGTGCCACCGAGGGCAGGGACTAAACCGCGGCGCGCTTTTTTGGGTGGCTTTGACCCTCGTTAAACAGTGGACTCGCTCAGCGCTCTGATTAAAACTCATTATGGCCGCTCGACCGAATTACCTGTATTAACAGAAATTGCTTTTAGCTCTGGCGCGCTGCGTTTGTCCTGCAAGCTGACGCTGATCCCCAGGCTTTTCTCTAGAGCTGCTTAATCCCCTGCCTTTTGTCCTGGGTGTAAACGGAGAAGGGACGGAGCCTTTTTTTAGACCAGGCCTGGCTCTCGCTTAACTTCACGCCGTGAGGATTCGACTACGTCCTCCTCTATCGATTTTTTTTTTTTTTTTTCTCTTATAGGCTGACACAACAGTTTTTTTTTTTTTTTTTTATCCTATAGGCTGACAAAACAAAGCCGACTTCGGTATCCCGAAGCTTATCTATAGCTGTTGGCGTAGCTATATCTAGTGGCCATATGTGCCCAGATATTCCCGCTGCGGCGGGCGCTGGGTGATGTTTTGCTGGCTTTGAAGCCGTCCCGGCAGCGGGGAGCAATATCCCCTTACACATTCTCCTCCAGAAATAGCGTGGGCTGAGCCACCGGGGCTGCGCCGGCCAAAAAAACCCCTGATCCCTGTCTCCTGAGGGCATCTTTCCCAGGAGCGCTGGTATCCCGCGGCCGCTGGCAGCTCCTCCTCCTCTTCCTCCCCGCTAGAGGAGGTGCAGGAGAGACGCGATGGCTGCCGATATCTAAAATTTAGGCTGCCGTGGTGAAGCGGTGGGAGGTTGGGTTGAGTTGGGGTTGGAGTCGAGTTGGCTTGAGGTTGATTTGGGTTGAGTTGGGGTTGGGGTTGATGTTGAGTTGAGGTTGAGTTGATGTTGAGGTTGAGTTGGCGTTGAGTTGAGGAGATCGAGGTTGAGTTAGGGTTGGGTTGATGGTGACCACGGCCATCTCCCCCCTGCCCAAGCTGACCCCGGGCGCTCCCTCTTCTCTTCTCACGCCCAGATGACCCAGACCCCGACGATGGATTTAATTATAAACAAATGATGGTGCGAGATGAACGACGCTTCAAGATGGCTGACAAGGATGGAGACTTGACGGCCACCAAGGAAGAGTTCACCGCCTTTCTGCACCCCGAAGAGTACGATTACATGAAGGACATAGTCGTGCAGGTGGGTCCACTGCGGCGGGCGGCGGTCTCGCACGAAATACGGCGTTTACGGTGAAGAAACCATAAGGATGGAGAGGGTGGGACCGGAGATGGACCTGCGGCAGGGTGACCTCGGGGATGGCTGTAGGCAGGGGGGATCGGCCGTGGAGCACAAAACGTGGCGCTTTGGGGGGTTTTTTTAACGCCGAGATGGTGTCTTTGTGCCTGTTGGGGCTGGATCGGTCCCGGTGCAGGGGTCACTGCGGGGAAAAATGGCTCCGAGCCCGGTTTAACCGCGGCCTCCTCCCTGCAGGAAACCATGGAGGACATCGACAAGAACGGGGACGGTTTCATCGACCTGGAGGAGTACATAGGTGAGACGCCAGCGCCCCGGCTCTGCCGCCGCGTCCCCTCCTCGCCCCGTCC